CATGCACTGGTTGTCCTTTCTGCTCTGTCAGGACAATCCTGCCCTCCCTGTGTGTCTGAAGGGACCAGCTGGTGCCCAAAGGTGATCCTGCTCTCGTGTCAGACTTCCCCAGTGGCTGTGGGATGCCAACCCCACACCATATTCCCATGGGGCATTGTCTCCCTAGAGACTGCAGCTCATCCTGGCACCTTCACCCAGCTCCTGCTGCTCCTGGCCGTGCCCAAACCACGCTCTGGCACCCGAAGCTCTTGTCCTTCCCTCCAGGAAGTTCTCCTGTCCCAGCCTGCCCCCTTCCCTGTGCCGGCTCCTCATCCCAGCCGAGTGCCCCAGGGCTCCCCCAGCACCCCACAAGGCAGGTACCTTGTGTCAGGAGTCCCCGGGGGCACCGGCATCCTGTGCTCCTGCCCTGATTCCTGCTCACCAGGTGACCCTGGTGCCAAGGCCATGGTGTCCCTGCACGTGCTGCCCCACACATGGCACGTGGGCTCAATGGGGACGAGCCAGGGCTAGGGTTGAGCCACGCTCCAGGGCCACCCTGCTCCTCCTGGGGCACAGGGGGGTCTCGTGTCCCTCGGGGTGTCACCCAGCACTGCTCTGCACCCGTGGGCACTGCCCCCATCACATGTCCCACAATCCGTGCCCTGTGCCCTGCTGTGTGCCCTGATCCCTGCACCCTGCACCCAGCTAGCCCAGTGCGGCCGCTCCCTGCTCCCAGCCCTGCAGCCTGGGCCGGCCGAGCTGTGCCGTGCCGTGCCACACCGTGCTGAGCTGTGCCGTGCCGTGCCACACCGTGCTGAGCAGTGCCGTGCTGTGCCACACCGTGCTGAGCTGTGCAGTGCCGTGCCACACCGTGCCGAGCAGTGCCGTGCCGTGCCACACCGTGCTGAGCAGTGCCGTGCCGGGCCACACCGTGCTGAGCTGTGCTGTGCCATGCCACACTGTGCTGAGCAGTGCCGTGCCGTGCCACACCGTGCTGAGCTGTGCCGTGCCGTGCCACACCGTGCTGAGCAGTGCCGTGCCGTGCCACACCGTGCTGAGCTGTGCTGTGCCGTGCCGTGCCATTGGTACCGAGCTGTTCTGTGCTGTTCTGAGCTATGCCGTGCCGAGCTGTGCCGTGCCGTGCCATGCTATCGGTACCGAGCTGTTCTGTGCTATTCTGAGCTATGCCGTGCCGAGCTGTGCCATGGCACTGAGCTCTGATGTGCCCTGCTGAGCCATGCGGAGCCAAGCTGTGCCGTGCCATGCCAAGCTGTGCCATTCTGAGCCACACCCTACTGTACCATGCCACACACTGCTGCCCCATCCCATTCTGTCCCAAGCTGGGCCAAACAACACCGAGCCATGTCACACCGTACCGAGCCGTGCTGTAACGTTCCGCCCCACACCATGCCATACCGTGCCATGCCAGGCCGTACCGAGCTCACCGCGCCGTGCCGTGCCCCGCCGTACCGTACCGTTACTGTACGGTGCCATCCCGAGCCGCCCGGTGCCCCCCGGCGCCACCGCGGCCCCTCCCGGCGGGCGCCTGCGGCGGGGCCGGTGCCGGTGCCGGTACCGGTGTCGGCGCGGGGGGCGGAGCCTCTCTCACAGCCCCGCCCCTCCCATTCCTGGCTCCGCCCCCTCCGCGCGCCCAGCTGTGCTGATGAGGCGTGGGCGTGGCTTTCAGGGGCGTGGCCCCGCGCGGCCCCGCCCCGTCTCCCCCGCCCGGCGCGCCCCGCCCGCGCTCGGCGGTGCGGGATGGGGCGATGGCGCGGGCGGGCGCGGGGCCGCCGCGGGAGCTGTCCCTGGAGGAGGTGCTGAAGTGCTACGAGCAGCCGCTGAACGAGGAGCAGGCCTGGGCGCTCTGCTTCCAGGGCTGCCGCGCCGCCGCCGCCGCCCCCGTCGCCCCCGCGCCGCTCCGCACCGCCGACATCCGCCTCCGCGCCGACGGCTCCCTCCGCCTGCCCGCCCCGCCGCACGGTGAGGGCCGCCGCCGCCGGGGGGGGCGGGAGCGGGCGGTGCCCGTGCGGGGGGGGGACGGGACGGCACCGCCAAGCGGGGCTTACCGGGGTTTACCGGGGCTTACGGGCACCGGGACTTGCTGGGGCTTACCGGGGCGCACCGGGGCACCGGGGCTTACGGGCAGCGGGAGCGGGGCACCAGGGTTTGCCGGTACTGGGAATTATCGGCACCGCGGGAGCGGAGCACCGGGGTTTACCAAGGTTTAGCGGAGCTTACCGGCACCGACACCCGCGACACCGGGACGCACTGGCGCTGGGGCTTACCGGAGCTTACCGACGCTGGGAGCGGGGCACCGGGGCTCACCGGCACCGAAAGCGAGGCACCGGGAGCGGGGCACCGGAGATTACCGGTGCTGGGATCCGGCACCGGGGCTTTCCTGCTCCGGAGCTTAGCAGCACAAGGAACGGGAAACTGGGACTTACCGGCACCAGGGCTAACTAGCACCGGGATCCGGGATATCGGGACTTACCGGCACCGGGGCACCGGGGCTTGCTGGTGCAAGGAGCGAGGCGCTGGGATTTACCCGCACCGGTGCTTGCTGGCACCGGGAGCAGCCTACGGTGCTTACTGGCACCGGGACTTCTCGGCGCCGGGACCCGGGGCACCGGGACTTACCAGCACAAAGAGCGGGGACCTGGGACTTACCGGCACCGGGACTTACCGGCACCGGCAGGGGGTGCTGCAGCGGCGTCGGGGACGCGGAGGGACCGGGGGTATCGGCAGCGGGGGGGCACCCGCAGAGGCCCCGGCGGGGAAGAACCGGTACCGGAGAGGCAGATGGGCCGAAGTGGCACCGGAGAGGGGAAGCCAGGCATCGAGGCACCGGCAGCAGGGGAGAGTGCAGGGGGTCGCCAGAGAGACTGTGAGGACAGGGAAAAGGGTCGGTCCCAGCACCGGGGAGCGGGAAGGTGGCACCGGCAGGGACGAGGGTGAGCCCCAAGCCCCGGCCCTGGCAGGGGGACTGGCACCAGCACTGCCGGTATCGGTGCCAGGGGTGCCCTGGGGTCTGGGGGCGGGGGTGGGCTGGTGACTTGGGGGTCTGGACTGGTGTGGCACTGGTATTGGCAGTGGCGCCAACAAGGTCACTAGCACTGGATGACCCAGGGAGGCTGGAGCCAGGTGTGGGTGTTTTCGCGGTCCTGGCACCCACCACGGGGCTGCAGGACACACAGCAAGGACAGACAGATGGACACATGGACACCCACACGGCACATCCACGGCCCCCGTCACCCCCATCTGCACCGCAGGGGACCTTGTCCCCCACTCCAGGCGCCGGGAGTGGCACACGGGACAGCCCCATCCCTGACCTTTGCCCGCCCAGCCATCCTTCCACAGGTGGCTCGCCCTGCCAGGTATGGCTGTGACGGTTCCGGGTGTCACCGGGCTGGCTGCCAGCAGTGACACCGGGTGGCCGGATGCCACGAGGAGCACTTGGAGCTCGGCCAGCGCCTCCACCTGTCCTGCCCCGCAGCGAGGCCACCGGGGATGGCGCCTGGTGTGGCGGGGTCGCTCTGTGCCCACACTGGGTCACCGTGTGTCCTCGGTGCTGGTGGCTCTGGCTGGAGCAGACGCCGGGGAGCATCAGGTGGCTCCATGCCCAGGGCAGGGACACGCACAGGCATGGCACGTGCCCGTGGCAGCCGGGCATGGCGTGGCCACACCGGCTCCACTGGTCCTGCATGGGATGGCCCCACGCCCTGCCCTGAGCCACCGCAGGGCTGGAGCCGGTGTCACCTGCCAGTGCCACTGTGCCACCTCCTGCTCCTGGGTTGCTTCTGTGCCAACCTGAGCCATCTCCCCAGGGATGAACCAGAGAAGCCTTCACAGTGAAGCCTGGGGCTGGGAGGGCTCCGGGTGCCTCTGGGTGCCACTGCAGGTGGCAGTGCAGCTCTGCCAGGGCACAGGGCTGGATCCGGGCTGGGTGAGCCAGCAGCACCCTCTGGAACCGCTCCAGTCCCCCATCCTATGGGAATTCCCCCCTCAGCTGTGCCCCAGTGACTGGCAGGAGCTGCTGGGACTCACCAGGTGGCATCCCAAGGGCTGGTGCTGCAGTGGGAGCCGGGCACAGTCCAGGACATGGTTTTTTGATGGTTTTTTGATGGCTTGTGTGTGGCACCACGGTAGGGCCAGCACTTGTGCTGCCTTTCCTGTCCATTCCTAGCTTGCACACGGCTGGCACACGACTGGCACATCCTGGTGGCTGCCGCATTGATCAGCTCAGTGCAGAGCTAATGAGGGAAGCGGAGCTGGGAGCCCTGGGGACACTGCAGAGGCCACTTGTGTTCCTTTTCCTGCAGCTGCCAGGAGGGCTCAAGCTGCCCACAAGCGTGTCCTGGGCTCCCCGTGTGTGCCATGCTCCAGCTGTGGCTGCCAGTCCCCACACTGCTGGTGCCTGTGCTGCTGTACCCACACTCCTGGTGCCCACACTGCCGGTGCCCACATCCCACAGGGGTGCAGGGGGCATCTCCTCATGCACACAGAGCTCTCAGCTCCCTCCAGCCCTCGCCGTGAGGGGTACATGGGTCCTTGTGCCCCCTCAATGTGCCCTTTGGGAGGGCTGTGCCAGCACGGTGTGATCGCAGGGCTCAACGTGCAGGGCCCACTGTCCCTTGAAGCCACGCGCTGGGACTGGGAGAGCACAGGATGAGCCAGGGAAGGGGGGAGGAGCAGCAGGGGGTGTGAGCAGCTCAGGGTGGGGGTCCCACGGCTGGAGTGGGTGGGTACCACATCCCTGGGTGATGCGGGGTGGGGTACTCAGCACGGGGCCGTGGGTACCAGTGGTGACTCTGCCCTCCTCCCCCAGACCTGCCCGCGCTGCTGACGCCCTCTGCCGAAGCCCAGGTACGTGGGGGCCGGTGACCTGCCCCGTCTGCCGTCGCAGCCCGCTATGGGCTGGGCACGGCCGCCTGGCCCCCTCACCCGGGGGTCACTGGGACGGGACCCAGCACCAAGGAGGGGCCGGGGACAGCTGGTGCCAGGTAGCCTGCTGTCCCCCGCAGATGGTGCAGTCGCTGGGCTTTGCCGTGTACCGGGCGCTGGACTGGGGACTGGACGAGAACGAGGAGCGGGAGCTGAGCCCGCGCCTGGAGCAGCTCATCGACCTGATGACCAACAGCGACTCGGAGGACAGCGGCTGCGCCACGGCCGACGAGGGCTATGGGGGGCAGGATGAGGAGGAGGAGGGGGGCGAGGGGCCGCCCCGCTCCGTGCGCACCTTCGGCCAGGCCATGCGCTGCTGCGCCGCCCGCCTGGCCGACCCCGCCGGCGCCCCCGCGCACTACCAGGCTGTGTGCCGAGCCCTCTTCGCAGAGACCGTGGAGCTCATGGCCTTCCTCGCCAAGATCCGCGACGCCAAGGAGGTGAGCGAGGGTGCCCGCCGCCACCACGGCCCTGCCCAGGAAACTGCCAGCAGGGACAATGGACTGGGGAGGCTGCGGTGCCCCCTCTGCCCATCCCAGCCAGGGCTGCTGGTGCCGGTGTTTGGCCGTGCAGGCTCTCCCAGACTGCTATGCTGGCTGGGAATCAGGAATTGGGGTGCACCTCAGTGCTGCAGCCCCTTGGCACAGTCCTGGCTGGACCTTCAGCGCCACCAGGACAAGGTGACAGCATCTTGTGCCTCAACAGCTACTGCAGAAGCTGAAGGAGGATGAGGAAGAGGAGGAGCGGCCGGCGGCGGAGCTGGGGAACCTGCGCAACACAGACTGGGTGCGGCAGCGTGGCAGGGCACGGGGGCTGCGCTGGGCAGGGCTGGGTGCTGACCCCGTGTCCGTGTGTCCCCCCAGGCCCGGCTCTGGGTGCAGCTGATGCGGGAGCTGCGGCACGGTGTGAAGCTGAAGAAGGTGCAGGAGAAGCAGTTCAACCCTCTGCCCACCGAGTACCAGCTCACGCCCTTCGAGATGCTCATGCAGGACATCCGCGCCCGCAACTACAAACTCCGCAAGGTCATGGTGAGCGTGGCCACCGTGCCAGCCCCTCACCCTCCATCCTGCCACTCTCCAGCCCAGCACTGACCCCCTGCCCTCCCCAGGTGGATGGAGACATCCCCCCCCGGGTGAAGAAAGATGCCCACGAGCTCATACTGGACTTCATCCGCTCCCGGCCCCCACTGAAGCAGGTGAGTGCCAGCACCGGGCCACCTCCCTGGCATGACAGTGTTGGTGGGTCCCATGAGTGCCATTCCTGAGCCATGGCCACGCCTGGGGTCCCATCCGTGCATCCCACAGGCATCAGAGCGGCGGCTGCGGCCGCTGCCCCAGAAGCAGAGGACGCTCCACGAGAAGATCCTGGAGGAGATCAGGCAGGAGCGGAAGCTCCGGCCCGTGGAGCAGAAAGGTACCGATGTCCCCTCCCCGCTGTGCTGTGTCACCTGTGTGCCCATCCCCACGGCGCTGAGCCTGTCCCTCCGCAGGATACAGCTCCTTGCCCTGCATCCCACACGCCTGCGCCGGCCGCCTGAGCTCCAGCTCCTGCCTCGAGCTGTCCCGGTGCCCGGCCAGCGCCGTGCCTGCGCGCCCACGGCCACGCGTCCTGCTCAAGGCGCCCACCCTGGCCGAGATGGAGGAGATGAACCTCTCCGAGGCAAGGGAGAACCTGCAGAGGTGGGGACGCACGGGGGGTGCCGGCGTGCCCTTGGTGCCACGGTGCCCATGGCCTTGCAGGACGAGGACTCTCCGGCCACGGAGGTGGCGCTGAAGCGGGATCGCTCCTTCTCGGAGCAGGACCTGGCGCAGCTGCAGAGCCAGCTGGGAGGTGACCAGGCTGTGCCCAGGGACCCAGAGCCACTGCAGCCCGAGCCCCGGCCCCGCTCAGGTACTGCCGGGGGTCCCCATGAGCCTGTCTCCAGGGGGTCTGTGCCATGCCTGTCAGCGGTGGTGGCACCAGGCAACACGTCCTTGCCACGGCCTCCCTGTCCCTCCCTGCAGGCTCCGTCCCTGCCAGCTGCCACCCGCTGCCAGATGGCCCAGCACTGCCCCGGGCTGCCCTCGGCGCCGTGGAGGAGAGGCCAGAGGATGGATCCAGCGCTGGCCCTGCCGGCAGCTCCAAGCACCTCTGGCTGGTGGGTTCTGGGGACACCAGCTGGGAGCACTGGGGCTGGGGACACCAGGCAAACATGACCGTGGGCACATGGCAGCCTGGCTCGAGGACACATGGTGGCTGGGTGGGTCCTCGTGCCAGAGATACTCTGCCTCTTCTGGGATGCTCTGCCTGTGCCAGGGGTGCTCTGCCCACGTTCAGAGGCTCTGCCCTGGCACAGGAGTGCTCTGGACCGTGCCCTGTGCCACAGTGCAGTGTGACATGCCCTGCTGTCCCACAGGAGTTCAGCCACCCTGTGGAGAGCCTGGCCCTGACTGTGGAGGAGATGATCAACGTGCGCAGGGTGCTGGTCAAGGCTGAGATGGAGAAGTTCCTGCAGAGCAAGGAGCTCTACAGCAGCCTGCGGAGAGGGAAGGTGGGAATGGGGATGGGGGCTGGACGGACTGGGAGCCACGTGTCCCCACCCTCAGCTCACCCTGCTCTGCCCACAGGTCTGCTGCTGCTGCAGGGCCAAGTTTCCTCTCTTCTCCTGGCCCACGTCGTGTTTCTTCTGCAAGCGGTGAGCACTGTGCCGAACTGTGCCAAGCTGTGCCATGCTGTGCCGTGTCACGGGGCTGGGAGGGCAGCAGCAGGGTCCCCACAATGGGCCCTCTCACCCACCTCTCTCTGTGTCCCCAGGTCTGTCTGTAGCTCCTGCAGTCTAAAGGTAAGGGACAGGCTCTGGGCAGTGCCACTGTGTCCCTGCCCCTCTCCTGCCCCGTCTTCTCCCTGTCCCTGCCCCATCCCACTCCACTCCTGTCCCGCCTTGTCACTGTACCTATCTCTGAGCCATCCCCACGCCTGTGTGCCCTATCCCTATCCCAGCCGTGTCCTATCCCATCCCTGTCCCTGTCGCTGTCCCGCCCTGACTCCCGCATTCCGCAGATGAAGATGCCTTCCAAGAAGCTGGCTCACATCCCCGTCTACGCGCTGGGCTTCGAGAGCCTGCCAGGCTCGCTGCTGCCCAAAGCCCCGCCGCTGCGCCGGAGGGAGCCCTTCCAGTGAGTCCCGAGCCTTCCTCCCGCTCCCCTCCTCCTCCTCCTCCTCCTCCGGCGGGGGCTGACGGGGTTGCCCTGTGCCGCAGCTCGCTGTCGGGGCCGTGCTGGCGCCGGGTGGAGGAGGAATTCCCCCACATCTACGCCCAGGGCTCGGTGCTGCGCGACGTGTGCTCCGACTGCGCCGGCTTCGTGACGGACGTGGTGAGCTCCAGCCGCCGCAGCGTGGCCGTGCTCAACGCCAGCGCCGCGTCCCGGCGCCACGCCAAGGCGCGCTCCCTCTACAGCGACGCGTGGCTCAAGTGACGGTCCCCGCGGGGCTGCCCCGGCACAGCGCCCCGATGTACATATATACATAGGATGGATACACACAGCTTCTATATTTATATACATTATGGACCGAGGGGCAAAAGGAGCCGCTCCCGCTGTCCCTGCCATCATCCCTCTGTGCCACCGGCCCCCGAGGGGATGGATCCTGCTGTGGGACACGCGCAGCCCCCGGGAGGACGGATCCCGCTGCGGGGCAGCTCTTGGGGGATGGATCCTGCTGTGGGACACCCGCAGCCCCTGCGTTCGCCCCCCGGCCCCGCTTCTGTGCCAAGCCCTGGCTGTGCCGGGGTGCCCGGTGCCCTGGGCTGGCATGGCTGTTCTGTACGTCCCCTCCATAATAAACCGCTGGGCTGCCCTGGGGCCGCGTGGCTGCTCCTGAGTGGACGGGGAGCGGGGTGAAGGGTGCTGCGGGCTGTGAGGGGACCGGGGATGGGGACACTCCGTTTCAGCGTGCGCATCTCCCACCGCCATCCCTCCTCCCCGCGGGGCTGTGCCCACCCGTGACCCCGCACAGCACCGCGGGAACACCCCGCTCCCCATTCCCACGCCCAGCTCCCCATTCCCACGCCCAGCTCCCCACTCCCTGCGCGCTCCCAGCCCGTCCCTCGGTCCCCAGCCGTGTCCCGGGGCCGTGCCCCGTGTCCCGTTCCGCGTCCCCGCTCCGGGACACATCTCACGCGCGGAGCGCGACAAAGATCGCGGCGCGGAAGGGGCGTGGCCTGCTTAGCATCAGCCAATGGATGTGCGCGGCGGGAGTGGGCGGGGCCGGCGCGCGGCGGGCGCGCAGGCGCAGTGTGGGCGCAGGCGCGGAGCGGGCGGGGGCGATGTCTCGCCGGGCCCTGAGGCGGCTGCGGGGGGAGCAGCGGGGCCAGGAGGGGCCGGGGCTGGGCGAGCTCGGCCTCGGCCTCGACCCGGGCCCTGAGCACGCCCGGGAAGGGGGGCCGCCGCCAGCTTCCGGGAAGGGGCTCCGCGGGACGTCCCGCGCCGGCGTCAGCAACCGCTTCGAGCTGGTGAGGGGGGCAAAGCCGGGGGGCCCCGGGTGCAGCGGCTGGGGACGGCTGGGGTGGCAGGGACTGGGGGACAGTGACTGGGGGGGCATCTGGGGGACAGTTCCTGGGCGGATAACCGGGGCGCAGTGACTGGGGGTGACAGCTGGGTGGGCAGTCGGGGACATTGCTGGGGACACCTGCTTGGGGGACAGCTGAGGTGACAGTCACTGGCGTGGCTGGAGTGACAGTGACCTGCGGCAGAGGCTGACGGGCTTTGGGGGTGACTGGAGGGGGGCAGTGACGGAGGGGGGCTCACAGTGGGGGTGGCAGAGGTGACAGTGTGCACGGCAGTGATTTGGGGTCAGTGTTTGGGGTGGGGGTGATCGGTCTGGGTGCTGAGTGGGAAGGGTGGGGGGCAGCAACTGGGGCTGGGCTGGGAGGAAATGGGAGAGAGGCCTGGGGAGGCTGGGTTTGGGTGTCGTCAGAGCTGGACTGGTGAAAATGTTTTTAGCAACATCCCTGCCACCTTCCCAGCACTGCAGGATCCCAGTGCTGGATGTCACATGGGCCCTGGTGGCACTGCTGGGTCCTTGGGGTGGCACAGCCCCGTCCTGCTCTCCAGACACCTCCTGCAGCCCCAGCCATTCCCTGGCCTTCCCCAAGGCCTGGCTGTGTGAGCAGAGGCAAGGCTGGGTTTGGAAGCTCTTCCAGGGGAAGAGCAGAGTCCGTGGGGTGAGGGGACACACCGTGGGGGTCCTGTGCTCCCCTCCCTGTCCGGACTGTCCGGGCAGCTGCTGGGTGACACGCTGGACACGAGGGGTGTCCAAACCTCCATCTGTGTGCAGGAGGAGCGTTGGAGCAGATCCGTGGGGCATTCTGTGCCTGCAGCTTGTGCCTGTGTTTGCAGATCCCAGCTGAGGAGTCGGAGGATGAGCTGGTGGCTGAAGAGGAGCGACCAGACACCCGGCTCGGCGAGCAGGACACGGCGGCAGGGAGCCCCCAGGGGAGCAGGGACAGGAGCAAGGAGGGGGCTGTGACCCCTTTGGAGGCAGATGGTGATGGACACAGAGAGGGGCAGGAGGCCCAGCAGCCAGACAGAACGGTAACTGCTGCCAGGGATGCAGGGCAGGGACACAGCCTCAGCCTGGGAGCTCACATCTGGGGAGGGTGAGCACCTTGGTGCTGGGGGCTGTGTGTGGGATCCAGAGGGATTTTCCAGCTGCAGAGAGGAGGCACCTGAGGAAGGTGTTGTGCTGTGTCCACATGAGCACTGAGGTCAGGCCAGGGAGGAGTGGTCTCAGGGAGGCATTTGTTTTGGAACGGGGGATGTGAGGACTTCAAGCAGTGTGAGCTGAGCACTGAAACAGCAGTGAAGCTGAACTGAACCACTTCTTGCCTTTAGTGATTTGTTGTCATTGGATGTCAAGGTTCCTCCTGTGGTCTGTATCAGCCCAGAAGTGTCTCCTTGCAGGATTTTGTAAGGAAAGGGGCATTTAATTAACAATTTCCCATGGCAAGGCCTGCCCAGATCTCACCAGAGAAGAGGGCTGGGGGAGAACAGGGGGTTGGCCCTCGGTTTCACTTGTTTGCTGTGCATTTGGGGTTTGTGTCCCTGGTTTGGGTGGCAGAGGAGCAAAGTCCACTGTCTGTGCATTCCAGCTGTGCCGGTGGCCTCTGCCAGCCCAGGGGCTGTGAGTGCTCTGGGTCATGTGTCCCTGTGTGAGCAGTGGCTCCAGGGGTCCTGACCTGGTGAGTTTGCTGTGCCAGCACTGCAGGACACACCTGTGGCTGCTCCCAGAGCTCCAGGTAGGACATGGCAGCCCTGGGCAGGGAGCTGCTGCTACCCCCTGGCCCTGGGGTAGGGCCAGGACAAGGCTTGGAGCAGCCTGGTCTAGTGGAAGGTGTCCCTGCTTAGACAGGGGGTAGGAACTGGATAAATTTCACTTCCACCCCAAACCATTCCATGATGCTGTGATCCCTTGCTATACCCTGGAAATGTGCTTGCCAGCTGTGCCAGTCAGGGTAGGGAATGCCCCCAGCCAACATCCTGAGCTGAAGCAGCTGCATCTGTGGGGAGAGGCACCCTGGCACTGGGGCCTTTGTCAGGTGTTGATTTCTGTGGAAATGGGAGTGAAATTGGGAACTGTCCTGCACCCTGGAAAAGCAGAAATGCAGCTTATCCTGGGGACTGAGGGAGGCTGAAGCATTTCCTCCACACCATACACAGCTAAAGTTGTTTCTCTCCTGATTTTTTAGCCTCAGACATTGATGTGAAAGTCAGCTGGGGTTTAACTCTTTGTGAATCTTTGGTGTTTTCCTCCATTTTCTCCATGTGTCTTGATTTCCTCCCACTAACAAACACTCAAGGGTGAATTTTGGTTTCTTTTAAGGACCCTCAGTGTGCTGATCCCTGTGGGAAATGCTCTTCTTGCCATGGAGCTGGCACCCCAGGGAATGCTGACAGCTCTTCCTTTTGTCTTTGCAGTTGGCAACAAGTAACAAGCCACGGAAGAAAAAAAAGAAAAGGAAAACCAAGAAAAATTCAGCAGGAGAGACTATGGTATGTCTGTGTGTGTGTCCTGGGTCAGGAACCAGGCTGGTTCCTCCAGTGGGGCTGGCAAAGTGGGAATTCTGAGGTGACTGTAAGAGAGACTCTAGGCAAAAAAAAAGCCATTTCAAATTTTAAAGAAGCCTCTTTAGGATCGTGTCTAGGCAAAAAAAAAGCCATTTCAAATTTTAAAGTTAAAGAAGCCTCTTTAGGATCGTAGAATCCTGGAATGGTTTAGATTGGAAGGGACCTTAAAGCTCACCTCATTCCATCCCCTGCCATGGGTAGGGAGACCAGTGCTGGGGACCCCAGAGCTGGAAGTAGCAGATGGATTAAAGTCGTGGATCTCCTTAATTCAGTAGGAGTGAGGTTCAGGTGGCAGCTGGTTTTCTGCTGAGCTTTGAGTCTGAGCTGTCCATGGAATTACAGAATCCTCAAGGTTGGAAAAGACCTCCCAGACTGTGGAGTCCAACATTCCTGTTCATTCCAGGGAGATTCTTTCCTCAGCATCCTGAGCCACCGGATTCTGGAGTGAATGGCTAAGCCATGACAGCAGGGCCAGCACCCAGCTGCCACCTCCTCCCTGGGAATGCCACTCAGGAGTGAGTTTCTGAGGTGGAGAACCCTCCTGGAGAGCCTGTTTCCTGTCCCAATCCAGGAATACTGAGCAGCAGAGGGACATGTGCCAGCTGGAGGCTGGGGGGACACCCAGACCCAGGCAGTTGGGTTTGCCAAAGAGGGATAATACAGCCTCTGTTCCAGCACTTCCATGCACAGGGACTAAATTTAGCTTGAAAAGGCAGCCTGGCAGTGCTGCTTGGGTGTCCTGAATGGAATTCTGTGTTCCACCCATGGACATCATGAGGAGGATGTGAAACAGGCACGTAAGAAATGTGTCACTTGTTGTTTGTTGGGGGAAAATGGAGGGAAATCAGGGTTAAAGTGTTATATAACTGTTGGATGTGAGTAGCTGGATGGATTCCTGGGGTGGTTGGAAAATGGGGAAGGGGAGACTTGGATTAAAGTCATGTGAGTGTTTGAGACCTTATCATGAGGCTCACAGCTTAGTAACTTGGTTTTTCCATGGACAGTAGAGGGTGAAGGCTGGTTATTTAAATATTTTAGATATTTAAATAGGGCCTGAAGTGTCAGGACAAGGGAAAATGTCTTCCCACTAGCAGAGGGCAGGGTTAGACGGAATATTGGGACAAAATTCTTCCCTGTGAGGAGAGTGGTGATGCCCTGGCACAGGGTGCCCAGAGCAGCTGTGCCTGGCCCTGGATCCCTGGAAGTGTCCAAGGCCAGGCTGGACAGGGCTTGGATCACCCTGGGATAGTGGGAGGTGTCCCTGCCCATGGGACATGGAATGAGATGAGCTTTAAGGTCCCTCCCAACCTAAACCATTCTGGGATTCTCTGAAGAGCCACAGCCCCTCACCG